CCTTCTTACTATTGTGATGCGATGCATCAAACTGAGCATCACTGGCTTTCACAAGGTGGGTTTGTTCACCTGATTTGTGTGCTCCCAGGTCAAGTCATGAATGCTGAAATCACTGACATCATGTCTGTTAACATCTGGACACCCCTGGGCAGTTAATTTGGACTCCAGGTCATGGGTCGCCACCAAATTATAAAGAAACAGATGCTCTTTTTCCCTATTTTGTAGTCCTCATTGATCACCAAAGGATGCTTCCTAGTCAGTCATGGTGACAGGTAGCCCCAGAGTGGGCGTGATAGAAATCCTGGGACAGTGTTGTGGGAGGGGTGAGGAGGCTGCCCACCTGGAATGAGTGGTTTTAATATCAGAAAGTTCTAGTCTGGAGAGCACAGAGTCAAAGACCAAGGCTCTAGCCAGTGAAGAGCATTCTCCTGGCTTTCAGGCCCCCTGCTTGCTGTCCTCTCACAAGGCAGAGGGGAAGAGAGTGGGGTCTCTGTTGTCTCTAGCAAGGCAGGAATCCTATTCTGGAAATCCAGCCATTAGGATCAGTTTTAAACTCATGTAGCTCCCCAAGCCCCTGTCCTAAGGCCTTCATCACAAGTGAGAGCTAAAGTTTCAGCAACTGAATTTTCGGGAAGGAAACAATTCAGCCCACCACACCGGCATTTTCTCATTGGTCCTTCCTAACTCCATGACAAAGGTTCCAGTCAGGGTGAAGAATCTTAGAAAGATAAATATGGGGGCTGGAGAGATGGCTCAGAGGTTAAGATCACTGACTCCTCTTCTAGAGGACCTGGGTTCAATTCCAAGCACCCACATGGCAGCTCATAGCTGTCTGTAACTCCAGTTCCAGGGGACCTGACACCTTCACACAGACATATATGAAAGAAAAACAGCAATTCACAGAAAATTAAAAGAAATATTTATGATAAATGTGTCTAAGGCTACTCAGCTGTGTTCCAACAAAAGTTGGAGGTCTTTTTTGGGGGTGGGATGAGGTTTCAAGATAGGGTTTTGTTGCAGGATATTTGTTTACACCATGTGAAGATGTGTCACTGTGATTGGTTTGATAAAGAGCTGAATGGCCAATAGCTAGGCAGGAGAGAATAGGGAGGATTTCTGGGAAGAGATAGGAACTCAGGATGAATCTAGGCCTATGAGAGATGCCAATGAGACACTGAGGAAGCTGGATGTACACATTGGAAGAGAGGTAAAAGCCACATGGCAGAACGTAGATTAATAAAAACAATTAATTTAAATTATAAGAGCTAGTTGTGAATAAATATAAGATAAAGGCCAAGCTTTTATAGTAATGATAAGTCTCTGTGTCATTATTTCCCAATAATGGAAGTACCAAAGAAAGTCTGACTACAGGGTTTCTCTGTGTAGCCTTGACTGTCCTGGAACTCACTCTGTAGACCAGGGTGACCTAGAACTCAAAGATCTTCCTGCCTCCGCCTCCTGAGTGCTGAAATTAAAGATATGAGCCACCACCCTGCACCACCACTACTGGACTAGTTGGAGGACCTAACACCAGGGAAATTCCTAGGAATCTACAAGGATGACCCCACCTAAGACCCTAAGCAGTAGTGGAGAGGGTGCTTGAACTGACCTTCCCTATAATCAGATTGATGACTACCTTAATTGTCATCATAGAACCTTCACCCAGCAACTGATGGAAGCAGATGCAGAGATTCACGGCTAAGCACTGAACCGAGCTTCAGGAGACCAGTAAAAGAAAGGGAGGAGCAATAATATGAGTAAAAGGGTCAAGACCATGATGGGGATGCCCACTGAAACAGCTGACCTGAGCTGTTTCCAGAGTGATTCCAGACTGATAGCAGGGGAACCTGCATAGGACCAAACTAGGCTGTCTGAATGTAGGTAACAGTTGTGTGGCTTAGGCAGTCTGTGGGGCCAGGCAGTGGGCCCAGTATTTATCCCTAGTGCTTGAACTGGCTTTTTAGGGCCCATTCTTTTTGAGGGATATCTTGGTCAGTCTAAATGTAGGGGGGGAGGGCCTTGTTCCTGCCTCAAAGTGAAAAAAAAAATCTAGGAGTAAGGAGTGGATGCCACCATCTGGAAGGATGAGACAGGAGGATTGCCACAAGTTTGAGGACAAGTTCCAGGCCAGCCTGGGCTATAAAGTGAGATGCCGTCTCACCCCCATGCTCCCCCAAGCAGCACCTCAAGTTTTGCCTCTTGGAGTCACTGAGATGTTGCTCTATTTGCTTTGAGCCATTGTTCTGAAGGCAACTGTGGGCCTGAGGAGGTACGAAGAAGAACTCCATAGGACGGAAACGTAGGCAGGGTGGGTACTGGGGGCGCAGAACTCTTGAGTAGAGGGGGGAATATGGAAAAGATTGGTTCACCCTCTGGCAAGGTGGAGGAAGTAGTCTGGCAGAAAACAATCCTGGCAGTTGTGGGTGGGGCTTGGAATCATGATGTCAACTATTATAGAGAAATGCTTGACTCATCTTTCCTCGCCCTCTTGGCCTTATTCCCAGGTCCCACACCCTTTGTCTGACACGGGTAGGGTTTGCAGAACAGGGCACAGAAGAGTCGAGAAGAAGAAAAGCAGCTCCTCTTTCCGCCTAGGCAGTGGGAGTTAGAATGATCCCTGACGAGTCCAGGAAGAGCGCTTCTCCCACACAGCGCCAGTGCTGAGAGTGAGGTCCCTGCAAGTCCTCTGATGCCCAGGTGACTTCCAGGGTTCTGCAATCATGCCGGCCATGAGACATCTCCATTCAGAAAACATGGAGCTCTTCCTCCAAGGCCGGGTCTGGGGAGCATGCTGGAGAAGGAAGGGGCTGTTACAGTTTCCTCCGTCCATCCGTCTGTCCTTGGAAAGTTCTGTACTGGCAGGTGAATCCTGGGTCACACACAGCATGAAGGGTGTGGACCCAGATGGGAACAGGCCTATTTACTCCTGTTCCTCCCTCCTGTTTGCAGCCAGTCCTCTGAGTGTAGCCACTGGTCTCTTGGTTAATGTCAAGGAGGAAGTTCAGGAGCTTGCTGCAACTAATGGGTTGGAGTTGAAGTCCTGATTGAGGCCATTAAATGCACATGGAACGAAGAGAAAGTTCACACAGGGTCTCCGAAACTAGGGATACATCACAGACACCAAAACATTACACAATGCGGAAGGATTGCGGTGATCTTCATAGTGGAGAAGCTGGGGAGAATCAGGAATGCTGCCCATAACTGTTCACTACGTGCCAGGCTCTCTTCAAGCATTCCACATGTATCAGGACAATCTGCCAAGTAGCGGGGGTGGGGGTACTGTTATCTCCATTTTATTTTAGAGACAAGGGTCTATTGGAGTCCAATCTGGCTTCAAACTGGCTATATGGAGTGACTTTCTTTTTTTTTCTTAATTTTTATTTTATGTGCACTGGTGTAAAAGGGTCAGATCCCCTGGAACTGAAGTTACAGACAATTTGCAAGCTGCCATGTAGGTGCTAGGAATTGAACCTGAGTCCTCTGGAAGAGAGCAGCCAGTGTTCTGAACCACCGGACCATCCCTCCAGCCCCCAGAGTGACTTTTAATTGCCGATGTTCCTGCTTCTGTCTCCCAGCTGCTAGGGTTTTATAGATGTGTGCCATCATTCCCCGCCTTTGCCTCCCTGTTACAGAGAAAAGACCAACAAGTTAAATGACTTGTCCAGCGTCACATAGCAAGTCATAGGCTGAGAGCCAAGGTTGGGCTTCAAAACTACCAAACCAAGCTGCCTCCTTTGGAGACCTTGGCTTACCCTCTGAACACCTGACAGAGAATTACAATTGCTTGCCTTCCTGACAGATGTTACTGCCAGGGACTACACACACACACACACACACACACACACACACACACACACACACACACACAGCCTGCCTGCCACATAGCTGGCTCAGTGTTTATTGGAAGAATGACTAAATCTGGAAGTTGGTCTGGCACATCAACTGCTTTTCCCTTTCTAGCTCACAGCCCATTTTCTTCAACTCTTCCCAGTATTTAGTTGTTTGGAATCTCTCACCACCCACGTTAACCTTTGGACATCTTCTGCTTGGACAAAGACCCGTAAATGAACTTCAAGGGTGTGAACGCTATGTGGGCTATGTGGCGACCAGTCTGCCGGATCCAGTACCAACTATTCTTTCCACCCCTGTCCAGAGATAAACTCTCATTACTTCATTGTCCATTTTGTCCTTAGGATTCCTGTCCCTGTGCTGTTTGTATGCCTGGCAGACTCTTGATTATGAAACCAAGTCCAAGGTGACCCATCCATTAAGCCATCTGCTCCTCCTCCCCTTTTTCTCCTTCTCCTCTCCCCTCCCTCCCCCCCCCCCCCCTTTTCCTCCTCTCTTGTGGAGGAAACTGGTAAGGTTTCAATGGAAGAGAACAGAATATCTTTCGTAAGGGAGTTTAGGCATAGAACTGCATTTTCTTAATTGGAGCCCGCACAATGTGCAATGTGTCAACTTTGTTTTATAGTATGATGGTGAGATTTCTTGTTTTCTTCTCTCTCTCTCTCTCTTTTTTTTTTTTTTTTTAAATACCTGGGATTGTACTTGAGAGGCTACAAGGACAAGATATTTGACTTTAGAGATTTTTGAAAAATCAGATAGAACTGACAAGAACACACTGTTCCGTTTCTCTCAAGTTGGGAAAGTCAACCAACTTTGGTTCGCATCGTGTCCTAAGTACACAGACAAAAATCGAGATCAGATGATTAAAGCCGGCAGTCCCACGCAAGAGACATTGTCTCTTCCAGCCAGGGGCTTCGCCCGCGGTCGTTGTTTGGGCTAGAGATTACTTCAGCTTGGCTTTCGGAGTCGAGTCGGGGTCATCGCCCGGGTCCTCACCGACGCCGCCTTCCGGGTTGCTGACCCGGGAGCCTGGGGGCGGGGCCGCGCCGGGTGGAAGCCGAGGAAGAGGCCGGCGTCCCGGGAGCGCGCGAGGCCTCTCGCGTGCGCGCGCCCGCCCACCCTCGCGCCCGCCAGCGCGCCCACGCTCGCCCGCCCGCCCGCGCTCCCGGGAAGTCTCGCGATGCGGTAGCCGGCTGCTCCTGCTGCGGGTGGCTCTGGCTGTTGCTGTGGTTGCCGGAGTTGCGGCGGCAGTGGCGGCGGCGGCGCTGGCGGGGGTGGCGGCCCCGGCGGATGTTGACATTGTGTTGTTGTTCCTGCCCACGGTAATGGCGGCGGCGGCGGCGGCCGGGACCGGGTCTCCTCAGTAGCCAGAGCCGACCCTGCCGAGCGCCAGCTCCGCGGCCTCCGCGCCCGCAGCCTCGCCAGCCGTTCCCCGCGGCCGCTCCAGAGCCAGGGCCCCGGGCGGGGGGCTCGCAGGCGCGGGATGGCGGATTTCGATGAGATCTACGAGGAGGAGGAGGACGAGGAGCGGGCCCTGGAGGAGCAGCTGCTGAAGTACTCGCCCGACCCGGTGGTGGTCCGCGGCTCCGGTCACGTCACCGTGTAAGGCCCTGCGAGGACTGGGACGAGGACGGGAGGCGCGGGCTGGGCGGGCTGGGTGGGCCCCAGTACCCCTCGGGGTCTTCCTTCCTCGAACCCCCGTCCCCGGTGACTGGCGCGGGACGGGGGCCTTCTGGAAACGCCTGCGACCAGGAAGTGAGAACTTGCTCTGTTTCCATTTGTTTAGGACTCCCAAGTGGGGACAGACACTGTCTTCCCTCCTTCCCACAGCCCTGTAGCAGGCCCCACGGTCCAGAGGATGTGTGGGATCCCAGCAGGGAAGGAAGATGGTCTGCTTTATGGGCCATCCCTTCAGCATAGGGATGGAAGTGCATATACATTTTGTGGGATCCACCTTTGTAAACCTCCCCTTCCCCCGTTATTCTTTGGGACTGTGCCTTACCGTCTATTGACATATGGCTCAGAGGTCAGATGGGGGATGTAAGACCCCAGTGGCAATTGGTAAATGAGGTTTACTGTCGTGTGTGCCTCTCACACGTATACACACAGGATTTCCCAGTTCCCTAAGAGTAAATTTCTGCAAAACTAATTCAAGTTTCTGCCTTTATATATAATAGAAATAGACAGGTGGACATAAAAGTAGGCAGATAGATACATGTTTGCAACGAGTCGCAAGTACTGAGTTTCCTGTAATCGTTCTGCTTTGGGGCACGGACTCTAGGTTGGCTTCATGTCTGATAAGGGTTCTTCCTGTAAGGCTTCTTAGCAACATCAAAAGTTCAATATTATTCAAACAATAAAGGATGAAAGCACCCTGAAAGGTCATGACTAATAAAGGAATGTGTAGACTTGAAGCAAATAATGACCTGTCCGGAAGGAGGAAGTTTTTTAAGTTTTGTATCATTTCCCTGATAAGTCCGGAGTTTGGCCAACTTGGGGTATTGATACTCTTTCGCAGCTGATATCGCTGGTTAAAAGTCCTATGACTTTTAACTTATGACTTTTAAGCGCAGACTTCCTGTACTTGCAGATCGCTTTATCAGTGCTAGAAAAAGGCAGCGAGTCTGAAGATGTCTGGAGCACTTCGTTGTGTTGTGATGTAGGGTGAGTGGGATGTGCTGTGAATAAGTCAGGGGCACACTGCGACTCCTCAGCCGATTGCCGGCCTTTCTCAGTGCGGTTGAGAGCAGTCATACTGACTAGCCATGCTGTTGTCGGGATATGCTTATGTAATGCTTTGGTTTCTTAGCACCTGCTAAGTGTGTGTTTAGGTGACTGAACAGAGTAAAAACACTGCATAATCATTGTCCCAGTACCTGGATGAGGAGATGGAACTTGCACCATAATAACAGCTCTGTTTTAACTGTCATCATATGCTTAATTAAGGAATATAGCCAATTGTGAATAATACAACTTAAATGTATATCACAGTGTTTTTAGTGTCATAACCTGCTATTTAATTTTTAGTTGGACTCTTTAGGACTTTTTTCTTCTTGTCTTAAACTTAAGGACTATGGGTGCTTTAAGAAGCAGTTACAAACAATCAAAGAACGTGGTGGCATGTGTCTAATCCCAGCACTCTAGAGGCAAAGGGAGGTAGATCTGTGAGTTACAGGCCAGACAGGGTTATTTAGAGAGATGCTGGCTCAAAAGGATTTCCAAACTTTTTCATGTTGTCAGTGATTGTCCTTAAAATCCGCATGTCAAATCAGAGATGACAGAATTCTATTACAACGGTGCAGCTAGGCCTGGGGATGAAGCACAGTGGTAGAGTGTTTGTCCAGGGTTCAGAACAGCGCAACAGAAAGGTTCAAGTACAGTTGCAATGTCTCTTTTCAAGAAGGAAATCTAAACACTTTTTGGGGAACTAGAATAGGCAAAGTGCTCAAATGGTAGTAGATTTTGATTGTAGTTAACTGTTTGGAGTGGTTAACAGAGTGGAAAATAATTATTAGTGGTTTTTCATCTTATCTTTCTGTTAGAATCACCTGGCATTTTGCTCAATAAGCACTAGCTTCTTTATTATTATCAGTATTATAAATAAGTACTTCCGTTTGCAAGTTCACAGTGATTCATTTAGTCTAGTTTATCTGCCCATTAAAACCGTCCAGGAAGCCCCAGCTCTTGCTCCACCCTTTCTCCAGGCCAGTGGTCCACATATGAATGAGGCTCTGGTACATGATGGGCTTGGGGGCGATTCTGATTTGTAGCCAGGATCTCTGCTGCAGACACTGGTGATAGTGGTGTTTACTTATAGTAGCCTTAATATGTTTGTGATCTTCCTCAGACACTTCTTCTGATAGTTTGATTGGGACCTTCACCTGCCACTTCTTACATAAGTTCCCTTCTATGTCTCTCTCGTTCACATGATAGCTATGTTCAGACAAGGGTTAAATGAGATAATGTATGCAAAGAATGTGCCAGTGTGTTGCTGTGCCCGGGGAATACCAGCCTTTATTAATTATTGCCTTTCTCAGGTAGTTTTCTACTTTGAGAAAGATGTGTATAAAAGATAACTGCATTAAGAAATTAGCATTGGGGCTAGAGAGATGGCTCAGTGGTTAAGAACTCTGGCTGTTCTTCTAGAGGACCTGGGTTCAGTTCCCAGCACCCACATGGTAGCTCATAGTTTCTGTAACTTCAGTTCTGGGAGACCCGACACCCTCACACAGACATCCATCCATACAGGCAAAACATCAATACATATGAAATTAAAATAAATAAATAATTTAAAAAAATCAGCATTGCCATTTTCAAACCAAACAGTGGTTCATTTAGTTAAGTCTTTTTAAATTGTGAAACAACTTGTATATATAAGAATCTCCGTGCAGTGAAAACACAAGCCCGTTTTGTGGTGATAAAGATTTGTATGTTACTGTAAAACTGTGGCCATTGTACATAATACCAGGCGTCCTAGACTGTATAGCAGAGTTGCACCTGCAAAGGTTTTTGTAATTAGTGTTCATACACTATTGTAACTGTTGAATGTACTTCATTTTCCTTTCCTTTATAAGTATAAACAGGAAAAACTATTAATAATTATAGTAAATCTAATTTACTGGGCTGGAGTGATGGCATTTGTTGCTCTTACAGAGGACTGGGTTCAGTTCCCAGCGCCCACGTGGTAGCTTGCAGCCATCCGTAATTCCAGTTACACAGAGGCTCCAACAGCTTGTTCTGACTTCCATTAGCCCTAGGCATGCCGTTGGGGCACAGACATACATGCTGGCAAAGCACTCATACACAAAAGTAAAATAAACAAATCTTTAAGCAATTAAAAATCATTGTAAAACATGTCAACTTACTCCCTTCTTAGCTAAAAAGTTAAAACAACTTCCCCTGTCCCTTTGAAAGCAAATGGTATTATAAACAGATGAGTGTCATCTTTAATCCAGGTCAGACTGAAAAGAGTCAGATCTACCTGTATGCTTGCTTTTGCTGTTCAATATTTCTAATTTTAAAAAATTACCTATTTTTATTTTATGTACATTGATTTACCTGTATGTATGTCTGTGTGAGGGTATCAGATCCCCTGGAACTGAAATTATAGACAGTTGTGAGCTTCTGTGTGGGTGCTGGGAATTGAATCCAGGTCTTCTGGAAGAGTAGCCAATGCTCTTAATCACCGAACCATCTCTCCAGCCCCTATTTCATTTTTTTTTTAAATGATTTTTCGAGATAGGGTTTCTCTGTAGTTTTGGAGCCTGTCCTAGAACTAGCTCTAGTAGACTAGGCTGGCCTTGAACTCACAGAGATCTGTCCACCTCTGTCTCCTGAGTACCAGGATTAAATGTATGCACCCCCACCACCCGGCTAGAATGATAACTCTTAAGGAATGTGTCAGTATAAAAGAATTTTTAAAAGTTAAAGAAAATAATTTAAAAAGTAAATCAAAGCTTGTATTAGCTGGGTAACCTAACAGTTATTAGTATGCCTTATTTTGTACTCATTCTAGATCTGAATCAGACTCTAGGCTTTCCTAGAGTGGGCATCATCTTTGATTTCTAACATAAGTTGTGTCATTTATTTGTTAAGAAGTAAACTTCAGAAGCCTGGCGTAGTGGCACAGGCCTTTAATCCCAGTACTCAGACAGAGGCCAACAGGCAGAAGAACTCTGTTGAGTTTGGGGCCAGACTGGTAGGTATATAGTGAGTTTCAGGCCAGCTGTGACTATGTAGAGAAATCCTGTCTTATTTTAAAAAAAAAAAAAGAAAAGAAAAGAAAAGAGAAAGAAAATAAACTTCAACAAAATAAATGACACAGGAAATTAGTTTGATGGAGTCTATGAAGGGAGAAGAAAAGCTAAGTGTTTTAGCAGGACAACTACTGTTTTAGTGGGGAAACTTTCTTGAAGAAATGAGAAGTACAGAGGCGGTTAGTGACTCAATGAGTGGAAGCCTTTATTGCACAAGACTGGCGACTGGAATTGATCCCTGAGTCCTGGAGCCATGCAGAGGTGGAAAGAAAGAACCAGTCCACAGAACTGTCCTGACAGCACCTGTGCACTGTGGCATGCCCTTCCCCAGAAAATGAAACAGAGGAAAAACATGTGATGAGTTGGGGTTTCGGTTGTACTGTAGTAATTTGAAAATTTATGTATGATTTGAATTCAGAATTTGGCGTTAGATTGGTGCTTACTCAGAGATGTGAAATTGAGTAATAATTTTTACATGACTGGCTAAGAAGAATACAGGGATTAAATAGGTAAAAATAAATAGTGCCTACTTATTTATATTGATAAATAATATTCTAAACAATAACTTAAGTAATACTTCTCTAAAAATGGATTTTTTAATTTGAGAGACACCTTGAGTTTATATTACTACTAGGTTACAAGCCCTGAGCTGAGCATGAGGCTAGCCATAGACTCAGGACTCTTAATTCAGGTGTAGTGACTATGCATGCAGTCCCAGATAGGAAGCTAGCCTGGACTAGAGGACTGGCCCAGGAAAGTTTGAAATAACCATATCTTGAGGAGTTTAGGTAACATGTATGTGTGTGTCCCCGTGAGTGTGTCTCCTTTTGTAGCCTACTCTGACTT